GGTATTATGTACACTATTTACATTATTCGGACTGTTGTCCTCATCTTTGTCGCCATATTTATTACAACGTTTCGGCCCTTCAGTATCTGTCTATATTTCTGAGATGAGGTATTATGTACACTATTTACATTATTCGGACTATTGTCCTCATGTTTGCCGCCATATTTATTACAACGTTTCGGCCTTTCAGTATCTATGTATATTTCTGAGATGAGGTATTATGTACACTATTTACATTATTCGGACTATTGTCCTCATCTTTGTTGCCATATTTATTACAACGTTTCGGCCTTTCAGTATCTGTCTATATTTCTGAGATGAGTTATTATGTACACTATTTACATTATTCAGACTATTGTCCTCATCTTTGTTGCCATATTTATTACAACGTTTCGGCCTTTAGGATCTGTCTGTATTTCTGAGATGAGGTATTATGCACACTCTTTATATTATTCGGACTATTGTCCTCATCTTTGTCGCCATATTTATTACAACGTTTCGGCCGTTGTACGCTCCGGCCTCAAAGACACATGGCACAGTGGGTAAAGGCGTTGGTTAGATCCAGTGACAGGACCCAAAGAGTGTGAGTTCAATACACCGTTAAGGCAATGAAGATCTTGGGGAGGGGAATTAACAGGAGATAACTGATAACTGACATCCATTAAGCATGGCACGTGGAACTAGAACAGTTTACCCCAGTGAGCGAAAGAAAGAGTTCAGTTTCACATTCCAACCACCTGAAGAAGGTCGGAGCGTACAACGGCCGAAACGTTGTAATAAATATGGCGACAAAGATAAGGACAATAGTCCGAATAATGTAAATTGTGTTAATCACCATAGACAACTTTTTTAGTCTTCCATCAATAGGGTTGACGTTCACCTCTTGGAGAGCGAATATTTATATCTTCTTGGTGCCGTATTTTCTGCTTGTTATCATGTTTTCCACTCGAAACAATTTCCAGGTTGTTTAAAAGTTTGGTTCACTGTATCGTGGCAGGTAATTTTTCTCGTTAGAATTCATTTTACACATTTACGAATCTACTATATTTGGTCTGCTAAACCTGTTATATAGCTTGACATTCTGGACAAATTCCTAAGAAGAATATGTAATAATATTGGTCCTGACCCGGCATCTCGACTTCAGTCACTTACCCACATCCCTGACGGGGGTTTCCCTCTGTCTTTCCACTGATAGTTGTTCTAATGAACTCTATTCCTTGATAACTCGATTGCATGAAATGTCAACATACTACTAGATAGGCAAATAGATGCTTTTTTAAAACTGTTGAATTACCTCCAATATGACCGGTTTCTTGCTTCCCTTCTACCGACGAGCTTCAAAGAATTTAATGCAAAGTCAATAGCAATGTTCTGTCTTCCTGAAACCTTTCCTGCTATTTTAATTCCTCCTCATTAATGTCTTCTCTTTTCTTTTCCTCCCTATGAATCACCCTGTTTAAGGTGAAATGATAAAAAAAAGATAGAAAAAGAAAATTTTGTGATGTCAGCGAATACTTGTCACTTTCGTAATGTTCCTTGTAGTAGAGACTTTGTAATCGCAGGTACAACTATAGTAACGCCGTTGAACAATACTCGTGTCAGATGCCTTCAAATATCACTCGCACTAATGGTACTTGCTCGGTAATACTCGTATCAAAAGGTTGAAGATTTGTTCTTTTGTCAATCATTTAGTGCCAAGTGTCTCAGGTGAATCAATGAAATCTGTAGAATGTTTTACATAGCTAGGAAGTGAAATAAACTCTACTGAAAAGGAGGCAAAAATTCACATAATTAAAGCCTGGGCTGCCCTTGAATAAAACGGATGTAATTTGGAAATTTGATCTACCATACAACCTCAAGCAGAGACTCTTTCAAGCTACTGTAGAGATGGTATTAATCTATGGTACCACTGCTTGGACATAAATTAAAACCCTAAAGTCTAAGCTTGATGGAATCTATACTCAGATGCTGAGAGCTTTTCCAAATCTTGGAGACAACATCCAACTAAATAACAGCTCCATGGAGCCATCAATGATATTTCTACAATCTTATATGAATGCAGAATACAATATTTTTGTGATGTCAGTGAACACTTGTTGCCACTTTTGTAACGTCAACGAATACTTATTGTCACTTTCATAATGCTCATTGTAGTAGAGACTTTGTAATTGTAGATTACAACTATAGTGACGCCGTTGAACAATACTGGTGTCAGACGCCTTCGAATAGCACTCACACTAATAGTACTGGCCCGATAAATACTCGCATTGATCCGTATAGCGATCCGAATAGTAATCCGTATAGTTATCATAGAAATAATATGGTTAATAGTATAGAGATAGAGGAGAGTGTAGGAAGAGTGATTCGTATAGTAATAGAGGATAGACTCTAAATGGTGATCGCTTAGTCGTCACGATATTGTCTATTTATAGTTTTCCTTTACGGTCATGTGATCTTAATTCAAAATGGGACCGCCTAAGTTTGCTCTATGGCGATCAATGTTCAAACTCCAGTGTCGTCAGCGACACTTTATTCCTATATAAAAGAAAAATAGATCGGTTAAAAACATTGTCATAAAAGCCATCAAGCCAAATATGAAAATTACATGAAAAGACTATCGAATAATAAAAATACTTAATTAAAGCGATAAAACGGATATATTAAACAAAGAAGAAAACATTATCAAAAAGACGGTTAACAGAAAAAAATAGCATTACCGCAAAGTGGTAATATCAAAAAAACGATATACAAAAAAAATGTTAACCATTTTTTTGTTAATTTTTCTCCTTGCATTGTTAAATATTTGAGCCTAAAAATTTTAACAAAATATTGGAAAATAACAACAAAAAATCAATAATTATGAACGAATGTTATTGTTGATAGAAGTAAGACTGGAAATGAAAACATTCAAAATGGAAAATATTTACAATTTCACTGGAGCAGACGTTTAACGTCAGTGGAATGGAAAACCTTCGCTTCAACTATATTTTCTTGTTTTCTTTCTATCTTTCTACTTAGGAAGGCTCTTTTGTGCTAAAACCAAACAGCTACTCTGCTACTTCTTGTTTCTGTATTTCCTCTTAATTAAAACAGAATGCTCTGAGGTAAGGGCAGGGCGTAACGGCCATGCGAAGGCGGGAACACGCAGAATTATGATTTTAATTAAATTTCTTATATTTATGAAGGGTTGAAATTAAATATTCTAAATATCTTCGAAGGGTTACAACACTTAATTGAAGCGATGAAAATAAACAAGAAGAATAAAATTTAAAAAAAATGAGATAACTTTTTTTTTCATAGTATTTCGATACATTGAAGATTAAATTAAATATTTTGGTACCCAGATATTTTTTTATAGTTCTTTGTTTAACATGTCAGTGCTTTCATTGAATAATTCCATTATTCCATACAGTCTTTTCACGTAATTTTAAGATTTTTTTTTGTTTTTAGAAATGTTTACCTTATACAAAAATCATGAGTCACCCGAAGTAGGATTGTTTGTTTATTTAACGGCACATCAACACATTATGGGTCTTTTAATGTCGAAATTTAATTTTCTTGGGAGCTTTGAAGTAATAAAATTCGGATATGTTGTTCTGCTTTCACCTGTGAATACATATTTTATGATACACATATTTTGTTCATATGAATGTTTGTGTAGGCATAATAATTAGAAGTGGTGAAAGGTGTATTTTAAGTTATAGTTTTGTTGAAGTTATATTTTGAAATACAGTTTGATTTAAGAAATTGTAGGATATTATATGGATTTCATAAAGTTCTTTCATTTTGGTTGGTTGGTTTATTTTGTTTAGTGGCATATCAATCTCTATGGGTTATTTGTTGAGGAACGCAAATGTCCAAGAATGCAATTGTCTGGTACGCACATAGAAACAGGAAGTAAATATAACCAAATTTAGGACATACATGCATAACTGGATGGCAGGAATTTATACAAACGCCCAACACACGAGGGTGAAGACCATCATCGTCAGAAAGATCGAATGTTTGAGGAAAGAACCCGAAACCAGATAATCTTTATTAATTTGATGGCGTCGAAATATGAAGAAAAATATTTTATGAAAGAAAAATTTAATCTTGTATTGTTTTAAGAAGTTAGAAACTATCAGCCTGGTGCCATAAGGCTTTTATTGATGAGTCTTCTGTATTCGAATTTTTCCACGAAGCGATTGACTCTAAAATCTGAAGAAGGGCTAGTCTTCTACCAATTTTTTGCTTCACTTGTTCCCACGTTAATAAGTTCCATTTACACAGGTTTCGACGTTTAGAGTTTTCCTTCTCCGGGACTCGTTGCCAACTGGCTTTAACTAACCAGTAAACGTTGATAAGCCGTAGAAAACGAATGAATCCATCAATTAAAAGCACTCATTGATTTAAGTGCGCAGTTTGGCTACAAGCTATTTCATTCTTCGGAATAACAGTAAATTAAATTTAACTAAAGTAAGAATTGGATTGTAAAGTTTAACGCTTCCACAATCGTTATCTTAATCACCATGGACAACCATTTTAGTCTTCCATCAACAGGGTTGACGCTAACATCTGGCTTGCTTTAACTAGTAAAAGTTGATAAACCTTAGAAAACTAATGAATCCATCGATTAAAAGCACTCGTTGATTTAAGTGTGTGGTTTGGCTACAGTTTACTCACTGCAATAAGTGACGTAATATTATACCGATATTTTATACGTGTGGGTTTCATATCGATAATTATAATGTTTGGTAGAAAGTAATGTTTACCTTTTTTTCTTCTATTAAACTTTGCGGCTACGATTATCTATAAAATGACGCACGAACAAAACCTGAAGATTTCTTGATTTTCATAGTATTGTTTTCTTTCTATTATTCATTGCCAAGAACGGTGTTCCGTGACTGTTGGAAGGGAAATCTCATGATATTTTGACCTTTAAATGTGAATCAAATCTTTTTTTACTGTTATTATTCTAGGCAACCACTTTTTCTCTAAATTTGGGAACAAGAAAAAGAATGAAAACCGAACGTAACATTTGCTTCCTTTCAGTTTTAACATGATTACAACTTCTTTTTTTCATTCGTTTTCGTTTAGATCTGGCTTCCTTTATACGCAATATTTCCTATCGTCTGTTCCAACGGTGGCTTGCAATTCTTGTCCGACATTTTGTACGATTCTCAGTGTTTCTTTCTTGTTCCATTCTTTCCTTCTCTTTTATTTTTTCTTCATTCTTTTGCTGTAGTTCTCTTTCCTCCGTTTTTTATTCCAAGTATTTTTCAATTTTATCCCTATCTTTTGTTTTGTTATTCTTGCGTCGCGTAATTTATTTGCTTTCTTGTTTTTTTCCTGTCTTCGTCATTCATTATTTTTTAATGTTTATCAAATTTTCCTTCATTTTTTTCTTCTTCATTCCTTTCTCTTTCCCTCTTTCCTTTTTACATGCCATTTCCTTCTAGATTTTCATCATCATTCATTGCTTTTTTCCTCTTCCTTATTTAATCATTTTACTTTCTTTTATAACCTCTTTCATCATTCGTTTTTTTCCATATTCATTTATTGCTTCAGCTTTCTTACTTTCATCTCTCATCTTCCCAAATTTTTGTCTTCTCCATCTTCTTATCTTCATTTACGCGCTTCCTTTTCTTTCATCTTTCATAATCCTTTCTTTATTTTCAGCTTCATCTTCCTTCCAACATTTATTTAGCCTCTTCCTCTCATTTCTCTCCTCATTCATTTTCATCACTTCAGTTTTTTAACACATTTATCATTCTTTTTCCTTTCTTTCTTTCTTTCTTTCTTTCTTTCTTTCTTTCTTTCTTTCTCCCCTTCACCTTCCCTCCTTCATTTCTTAGATTCCCAGGTTCACCCTAACCCGGAGTGGACCTTGGAACATCAGCAATTAAGTGGTGGTTAGACGCCCCTCAGAACCGCCTTGCTGCTGGATGTAGTTTAATGTCTTACCCAGGACGTGGATGTAGTTTAATGTCTTACCCAGGATGCGGATGTAGTTTAATGTCTTACCCAGGACGCGGATGTAGTTTAATGTCTTACCCAGGACGCACTCATGCGAATAGATTAAAAAAAGGAAATCAATAATATTTAAAAAAATGTTCAAATCGATATATTTATCATTCCGAATGTTTCGTGAAAAAAGAATTATCGATAATATGGTGTGTCTTAGCTTAAAAGATGCGCAAATCTTACAGATTTAATCACCAGAAAGATTATCCAGGTGTTTTATCTTGCAGGAAAAAAAAGCGCGAAATTTGTGGAAATAAACATTCGTGAATATAATTAAGAGTTTTGCACAAAAAGAAAATACCCGCCAAAAAGTATTCAGGCACGGCGTTGCAACATAAATATCGCTGGAAACTTTTGCACACACGTTCAGTACTTTTTTTTTGCATGTGTGTCTGTGTTGAGGATTCTAGGTCTAGACATGATGGATTATTATGAAAAAAGTATACTTCTTACATCAACATCTCGTCTTAATTAATTTATTCTTCCATCTAAATTTCTACTTTCAGTATTTTTTCCAAATCCTCCTTCTTCCTGTATCATCTTCCCGCCTTTGTTCCTTTCTACTGTCATCTGCATGTCTTCTTTCATCATTGTTCTCCAAAATCCTTCTTTTTCTTGCCTAACCTTCTCGCCTTAATTCATTTCTTTTTCCATTTGAATTTCTCCTTCCAGGATTTTATTTTCCCTTTCTTCTCTGCTTTAATAATTGTTTTCATTCTTATTTCATTCACTTTCTTCTTTTTGTTTTGTTAATGCCTTCAAATTTCTAATCTCTTTGTTTTTGATTGCATATGTGCTGTTCCAATGGATTTCATTTCATATCTTCTATTTTATGTGACAATTCGTTTCGACTTCGTGTGTTAGATTGGCATCTTCATGTCAGAATAAAATATGTACATATATATATATCGGATTCAATTTAAAAAAAACCATAAAATATGTGCTACTTCTTTCCTTCTTCTGTATCTCAATACTTCAGATTCTTAGCTATCATTAATTAACGATGAACATCTAATTTTCGTTTATAATTGATTTCATCATGATATTTCTGTTAAGCTTAGAGTGTAATTATACATTCTGATTGCTCAAAGTAAGTTACCTTTAATCATTTTTAAGATAAAGTTTCACAAAAATATATATATATATATATATATATATATATGTTGGGTATATGACATCTAAACTAGGTATTTACTATATCTACTCACTAAGACGAGTTGTGACACAAAGTCTTTTTAAGATGGGTGACCCGACCACGTGCACCCGGGCTAAGAACAAATATTACCCGCAGCCATCGGTTGCACTGGCCTCGGTGCGATCACCGATCCCTCTCTCTCTCTGCCTTTCTCTCTGGTGCAACGGGAGGTCGCGGCCTCGGACAGCTTTTCCCCAGGGCTGGGCACCTCTCAGTATAATTTTTCTCAGTTGTGACTCTGTCCTTTGAGGGAGTCGCCCCTGAGTGCACTCTGCCCAAAGATAGAGACGCAACTGAGAGATGATAAATAGATATGTTACAAACTCCTCAAGAGAGGGATTTATACTCTAATGAAAACTACAATAACATACACGTCTTACAGTATACATGTCGGACCCTTCGTCCATTGCGAGATATCTACAACAACATTCCTGAACATATTCACAATATAAAAAAAATACTGATCGACAACACAACCATCCTACACCAAGAAAATCCTAAATTCAAGCTTTGGATCTTAGAAGCAATTTATATTAAAAAATTAAAGCCGGCACTGAACAGAATAAATATAAATACTTGTACCCCTGAACAACATATAGTTTTGTACTACTTGCGCCCCTGAAGATGATCTTGGAAGAAGATCAAAAGTACTTGGGAAATGAAAATAAAAGAAATTTAAACAGTTATAGCACATAACTTTCATCCTTTAATGTCAATACACGTAGAATTTGCTGCCTAAATGCATTAATATATATATATATATATATATATATATATATATATATATATATATATATATATATATATAGTTTATACAAACTTAGGTAATCCGTATGGGTAGACCCGAGGAGGATGATATCCAGAGAGCTCAATGTAAAATTCAGAGCAGATATGTTTAAATAAAAACAGACTACGTTAAGATTCCATGTAATAAGTTATTTCACCATAACCCCTTTAACAGGGTTCTGGATCATCAGACTTTACTTCCAAAAGCTGAAATGAAAAATGAAAAAGAAATCCAAATATATATATATATATATATATATATATATATATATATATATATATATATATATATATATATATATATATATATATATATATATATATATATATATACCGGGTATAACAGCAAAATTGTCCAAATCGTGTAGCAGCATAGGATAATTATCCATCCCACAAAATGTTTAATATCTAAAATTCCTTAATCTAATTGGGTCTCTTTTTGCCAGGTTTTCAGATAAGACATTTACCCGTCTTCACACGACTTATCGTAAGAATAACTGGAAAACTCCTTGAGTTATTCAGCTAGAAATAGAACAGATTAGACTGTCCAAAGAGCTGTGAAAAAGAGTTGTAAATGTAATTGTACATGAAACCTGTAAGTAACCTTTAACCCCAGGACAGAAAATTGAATGGTTAGAGAGGGCGAAGATCATCTTCAGTGTTGGAAAATGATCCTGGAATAATATATATATATATATATATATATATATATATATATATATATATAGAGAGAGAGAGAGAGAGAGAGAGAGAGAGAGAGAGAGATATGAACTATATGTCAGTACTTCTTACGGTTCTTAGATATGATTAATTAATGATGAACATGTCATTTTCGCTTATGATCGATTTTAACATGATATTTCTGTTAAGCTTAGAGTATAATTATACATTCTTATTGCTCAAAGTAGAGTCCAATAGTGTCATAAAAACATCCGAGAATTCCAGTAAGATATATTTAATCGTTTCTAAGATAGAACGGTTCACAGTATAATCTAACAATTGGACAATTTTGTATTTACACGATTTGGACAATTTTAGGTTACTTCCGTTATATATATATATATATATATATATATATATATAACACGTATCATCGGGATCGTCATACTCTCTTCCTGTTCTAATTATACCCAATGGTGGCGGTGGCAGAAATGGTTATTAAGTCCCGGCGTATTCCTGAAGAGTCCTGAGTAGGAATCACACAGGAGTATGGATATTGGACGCGGCTGGGCAAGTCAGACACTCCTGACAGAAAGTCGTAGGTCCAAATCATGTTGACAGTTGGTCTCTAAAGTTTCGGTATGTCCATCCACCCGTCCCCGGATGGTCCTACGCTAAGAAGGCCGATTTACAACGACAGTTTCCCAAAAATCAGGGTCGATGTTGGCCTGTGTCCAAAATGTCTTCAAATAATCATTGGAACGTCGTTTTTGGCATACGCATAAAACCTGTAAATCTTTAAATGAAACTTGTTTTTATGCTTACATGAAAAATTAGAAATTATCCGATTTGCCGACAAAAAAATCTCTGCTGAACTAAAGAAGAGAGTTAACTGTAAATTGTCGACATACTTTACCTTTTACCTTACAATATAGTTGTTTTTTTTTTTAAATTAGTTATTTCCTTTTCTTATAGTCATAATTAATAAGTAAATAATGGTCCACCCTCTACAAGTAAGTATCTATTTTGTTTATTCAGATTTAGTATTGCTATTTATTGCCATTCAGATAGTATTATTTATATTTTATATAGCCGTTCCACATTTTTTATTTTATCTACAGTTTCCTTTAAGAAGTTTCCCGAATCTGAAATTTAAAAAAAATGAAATTAACTTTACGTCTGATTACCGTCCTTCTCTCGGCGTCCATTGAAAAAATTAAACATGTCATATCTGTCTACAATAATTGTCTACATATTTGTTGCTTACATGTTTTCCATAAGTGTCAATGGTGACCTGTCTAAATTCCGGTTCATCATGCCATGTAAAAAATAAACCTCCCACCCTCTGAACTTAAGTTTCTTAGCTAGATCTGACATTTAATTGGTTGATCAAGACAAATTCGAAAGTCTATTTTTAATTCTGACCATAGTTTTCTTGCTCCCCTCACATTTATCTTTCGTAAAAGAGGTACCATTTTGCTTTTGAATTCTTTAAAGACTATTTAATCACCAGTCACTTACCATTCAGCTGAAGAGGTACAACGTAGTACCGAAACCTCAGAGCGATGGTGTAGTGATTTCACCATGTTTTTGTTTTTATATCTAAAACAAAATAATATATATATATATATGTGTGTGTGTGCCTGTGTGTTTGTGTATGTGTGTGAGAGAGTGTTTGTATATATATATATATATATATATATATATATATATATATATATATATATATATATATATATATATAGATAGATAGATAGATAGATAAACCTAGTGAGTCAGGCAAACCTACCCAGGTTTCACCTAAGCGGATCGTCAGGGAAAGCAGGCTAAAGAGGCAAAAGAGAAACGTTGTATCGAGCTCTTTTGTTAGCTAGTTGTTTACTCGTATCGGGGTTTTTTCTTTGGGCTTCAAACCTGTATCTGTGCGATTGTTTTTGACAGACTTTCATGTTTCTAGCTCTTTCTTTTTTTAAAACCTTTTTTTCCCTCGAGATTGATTTGATTATTGGCAAATAAAAAATTCGAAGGTTTTTCGAAACGAGTATAGTTACCTATATATATATATATATATATATATATATATATATATATATATATATATATATATATATTCTCTAAAAGAAATATTCCGACTATTTTCTGTTTGCTTTTAGTTTTGACATTTTTTTCTCTTTTGTCTCTATTTTGTCCCCCCCGGCTGATTTGGTTTTGTTAATTTTTTCAAAAACAAGACATGATTTTATTTTTTGTGTGCAAAAATTGCCAATAAAAACCGGTTTTCAACTATGAATTCTGTCTACGGTTTTAAAAAAAAAGCACTTGGAATATTTGGCAAATCCTAGCAGAATGAAATATTTTTAAATCTTCAAATCTTTTTGTAATAAGAGTTGTAAACATTAAGAATCTTTTACAGAAAATAAAAATAAAGATTTCATTAGAAATAAGTTTAAATATAAAAATTCATTTTATGACAAAAAATTTTGTCACCTTCCTTCTGTCACCTTTTTATTGCAGATCCCAGATCGTTAATCTACGATCAATAAATAGCAGCAAGGTAAGGCAAAATAAAATCATTAGATATTACTGGCGAGATTTGAAATTAATCTTCTATCATTTGAGAGTTTTCGTTTCTGTGAGAAATTCCTTATCGATCAGACAATTTCAGCTGCGTATTGTTCTGAAAGTCTAGCTCGCTTTCCAGCATTCTGGAAATTTTTCTTGGTTTCATTCAAAGCTGCCTTTGCCAGCGAAAATTATAGAACACATTTACATATTTATGTGCTGGTAGTGGATAATGAAGTAGACTTCATCCGTAAATTGCGGGCAATTCAGAGTACAAGAAAAGAAGAAAGACGTATGAACTAGATACTGAATTACCCACAACTAGCCATATTTACTTATTGAATGTTTTCCATATTGTTCAAACTAGTTACGATGTTGTTATGTCTAAAACGAATTAGCTGGACTCAAGTGAGAATAAAATCTGTAAAAGACAG